CCCTAAACCCTAAACCCTAAACCCTAAACCCTAAACCCTAAACCCTAAACCCTGATTTAACCCGAAACTCTCAACCCTAAACCCTAAATTCAAAACATCACTAAGCCCTAAACTACCCGAAGCCGTAAACCGATTCTGAAGATTCTTGGGGTTCTTAGGCTTCCTGCACGGGGTTCTTGGGATTCTTTAAAGTTCTTGGGTTTTGGGGGTGGCTTAAGTTTTGGGAGCTTCTGAGAAGAGTAGACTGAAGGTAAATGTATGCAGTGATTCATGCAGCTGCTGCATGTGCGTGTTACTCAGCAGACAGATGTACTGTGCCTGCTAGTGGGACAAATCATCGCACCCGTGCATTCCAAAGGCGAGAGAAAACGATTCACTCCTGTGTGATTATGCTCACATCAGGTTTGAATAAGCTGCATTATATTCAAATAAAGCAGTTTGATCAGCACAAATATTCAAATAAATGCTAGACTTTATTTGGTTTTTTGATTTTGATGAATTTTGTGCTGTGCTCTTTATTCAAATAAAGCTGTTTATGGGATATAAATCATTAGGGGCCTTGCGGGTTTAGGGTTTAGGGTTAGGACGGGGGTACGGAAAGGGACCACGAGGTGTCATATGCTGACGGTCTCGGGGGTTGGGCTTCTTGGACCCTTCACTGCTTCGGCGAAACCGTTAAGCCTAAGACCCCCAGACACCTCACATGAAAACCCCGGACGCTGTATGCACACCCTCTAGATCCCACTCCCCTCCCAAAAAAGCACTACACCCCCCACTGAACCCTACAGCCCGAAACCCAAACTACTCCATAAAGCTGAGCTCGAAACCCTAAACCCTTTGTCCTAAAAACCTTTTTCTCTACACCCACCCTTCGCCTTTGGGGGCTCAGGGTTTGGGCCCGTCTCGGCTGCACCCCCTCCGCAAACACGCAAGCACGCAGGCTTTTCTGGGAAGGGCTCTTCCTTGTCAGGGTTTCGGGTTTAAGGCTCCAGGTGTGGGATTTAAGCTTCCAGGGTTTAGGGTTCCAGCTTTCATGGCCCTCTGCTTCCCAGAGAAAAAGAGGGGGGGGGCGCCCCCCAGGAGTTTCACAAAAGTGACGCGGCTGCCTTCGGTCGTGCGCAGGCTGTTGGGAAGTCTATGGACCCCCAAAATAACTTAGGAATAAGAAGGAACTCTTTGTTGGGTTTAACGGGGCTTCTAAGGGAGCCGAAGCCAAAAAAAAAAAACAGGATAAGGGCCGATTCCGGGTCCTAATAGTTCTCGAAATTCGGATCCTTAAGGGAAGGAACCAGAAAGCGACCCTAATCTAGGGAACTGCCCCTGTACCTCCATTCTACATCCAGTCAGACCCTCCACCCGAAGTTTCAGGGATTAGGTTTAGGATTCAGGGGTTAGGGAATGAAAGATTGCATTAGGGTTTTAGGGTTTAGGGTTTAGGGTTTAGGGTTCAGCACTCCGGGTCGAGCAGCTTTATGGTTAAGCTTTTTACGGCTCGGATATAACACCCACCCACCCAGAGAATCCCACTACATTGAGAAAGCCAAAAACGGCCAAATTCTGAAAATAAAGCGGCCAAATTCTGAAAATAAAGCGGCCAAATTCTGAAAATAAAACGGCCAAATTCTGAAAAAAAAGCGGCCAAATTCTGAAAATAAAGCGGCCAAATTCTGAAAATAAAGCGGCCAAATTCTGCAATTCAATTAGCCTTTGGCCTGATTTTGGCTCATTCTGAAAATCAAGCGGCCAAATTCTGAAAATAAAGCGGCCAAATTCTGAAAATAAAGCGGCCAAATTCTAAAAATAAAGCGGCCAAATTTTGAAAATACAATTAAGGTTTAAATATATATGGTAGAGAGGGTTTAGGATTTAGGGTCCAACTTCAGACAACCTAAACCGGAACCCAACTGGCCGACCACAAGAGCAGGTTGCTTGGATTAACGGTGAGACACAAGGAGGCTGCCGGAGTGAGGACAGCCTACCAAGGGTTTAGGGTTTAGGGTTTAGGGTTTAGGGCTAGGGTTTAGGGTTTCAGGGTTGAGGGATTTCTAGGGTTTAGGGGTTTAAGGGTATCTCGCAGGGTTGATCTCGACATGTCGAGATTCATAGGCCAAACCCGCACATGCCATCTAGGGTTTTGGGAGTCTTGGCTTACAGTGAAGGGCTGACATGGCTGTGCAAATCTCAAAGCCCTTGAAAGGTTGGCGTATCGCGTTTTGGGGGATCCAGGTTGCTGCCTCAAAGTGCTTCGGTTCTTAGACGTAGGGCTTTGCCTCGTTGAATGGTGGGCGACTACTGGGTGTCCTAAGATCCACACTCTAGACTGAACCACCCCCCCCAACTGTTAGGCCGAAATCCTCAGTCCTCCGGCGGTCCTCATGTCTCTCAAGGGTACGTCCCGAAGGAGGCGGCAGGTGGCAGAAAAACCGACACGCAAAGCTCGGACCCGTAACCCTGCGAGTAAACCCCAAAGACCCACAAAGCCTAAACCCTAAATCTCATCTCCCTAAACCCTAAACCCTAAACCCGAAACCCGACAGGCCTATAAATCCTAGATCCTCCTCCGTAACACCTGGCCTTGGATCCCGAAACCCTTTCAAGCCCTGGCAACTTTGGGGTCTAGGCTTCTGAGCATGCGGAGGGTCAGAGAAGTTGGGCTTCTTGGGTGGGAAACCCTAAACCCTAAACCCAAAACCCTAAGCGCTAACCCTAAACCCTTGGGTCGGGTGGGGTTGTATACTTTTTAAGGTTTAGGGTTGAGCGCCAGGAGCCCGAACAGCCCTTGAACCCATAAGCCTGAGACCTAGACGCTTGATTGCCGGAACGTGGCCACTAAGCCCCCCATCAAAGCCCTAAAACCCCGAAATCCCCAAACCCCCCCCAAACCCTACACGCTACCCCTAAACCCTATAACCCGATGCCCCTAAACCCTATACCTCCAAACCCGAAACCATCTGCCGCAGAGCTACGAGGAAAGGGCGTGCCAGGCGTGCGCAGGGGCATTCCCGGTTTAGGGTTGAAGGTTTGGGGTTTTGGGTTTTAGGTTTAGATTTGGGGAGAATTTCTTTGTCGGGGATGTTGGGACATGCTTTTGCGGCGGTTGGGGGTTGAGGCGAGGGGATAGGGCTTGTTGTTCAGGGGATTTTGGGAGCCCATTGTTTTAACCCCTAAACCCGTAGTTGAGGGGGGACTAAGGCTTGAGGGCTCAGGGGGCTTATGGGGTGCAACCCTAAGCTCCAAACCCGACGGTTAAAGGGCCAATAAGGGTTTCTCGGGTTTATAGGATTTTCTGGGGTTCAAAGTTTACAGGGTTATTATATATAAATATGCATCCATTTTGTTGGTTAGAGGGTTTAGGGGTCTCAAGTTTAGGGCCCACAACTCCGTCGCACGCGCAGCCAGTTCAAACGGCCTAGCTACCAGAGTAGAAGCACCTTTGGCCCTCCCTGGCCATGGTTCTCTATGGCAGCAGGTGGTCTAGACCCAGGAGTAACCTAGGAATAGAAACGGTACCCTTTTTGGTTTAAGGGGATTATAAGGGGTCCTAAACCCTAAACAAAGGGAATAAGGGCCTACTCCCGGTCCTAGATGTTCCGTGCGCCTAGAGGCTTGCCAGCCACGGCACGTGCACTTGCAAATTCCTGCAGAACTTTGTTTCTGCAGATTTGGAGTTATTCGTTGCAAGATCAAGTCAAAGGACTCTCCCCCACACATCCATGCCGACAGCACTCACTAGAACACAGACCCTGAAATCCTAGGCCAAAAACCCTAACCCTAAACCCTAAACCCTAAACCCTAAACCCTAAACTCAGAACCCTAAAGTTGGCCCACGCTTACACCTCTAAGCTTTGCGCTTTTCAAGTTGCGGTTCCCGTTAAGGGGAGGGTTTAGGGTCCTGGCCCTGCTAGGAAGGGTACCCTAAAGGTTGAGGGTTTAGGCTTTAGGGCTAGAAAACCCTAAACCCTAAATCCTAAACCCTAAACCCTCAACGTCTTCCCCTGAATCTCCCCAGGTATCCCCAAAAAATGGCTGCCCGTTCTGATGAAAGAAGCCTCTCTATGTCAAGCCCGGTTTGGGGGCTTGGAGTCGGGCACCCCAACAAGAACCCCTTGCCAGCTGCTCGGGTTACGGGGAGGCGGGAGAGGGAGCGTCCCTTGCGAAGCATTCGCGAGCTCCTTCGAGAGGTTCCCGCACGGAAGGACCCCCTAAATGTGGGGCTCCTTTTTGCGGGATCTCCCTTTGGATGAGCTGAGCTCATCCAGGGACTTCCGAAGTTCCGTGGTGTAGGGGTGACAAATGCCATGTAGGGTAGCCGTAGTCAGAACTGGCTAGAACCCTCTTTGGGTGTTGCAACCCTAAACCCTAAACCCTAATTCCTAAACCCTAAACCCTGAACCCTGAACCCTTAAACCTACTTCCCCCGGGTGGCGTCGTCGCAGCAGCCACCTCAGCTTTCGAATCGGGGGGCCCTCTCAGCTTTTGACCCAGAACCCTAGGGAGTTTAGAATTTAGGGGCTAGGGCTTAGGATCATAATTTGAGATTTAGGGTTGGTTCTGAGTTTAGAATTTAGGGGCTAGGGCTTAGGATTTTTATTTGAGATTTAGGGTTCTGAAAAGCAACCGCCTGGACTCCAACAGGTGGAAGATGGCTTGGGATTTAGGGTTCAGTGTTGAAACCTTCAAGCCGCCAAACCCCCTAACCCTTGAACCCCTAAATTCTCTAAGCTCCAAGTCCTCCCCCTCTGTTCCCGAGCTGCTTCACCGGGTCATCGCCAAGCACACTCTGCTAGCAGGACCGAAATATTGAAGTGTGCTGAGTTCAATGTCAGTGTTTTAAGCGAAGAGTCCCCTGCAGCATATTGACTTTCGGGAAGCCAGCGAGCCCGGAATCCCGAAAACCGCCGACAGTCCCAACACCCTGTAAGCCGCAGAGGGGTTAGGTGTTACAGCCCTGCCCCTGATTGTTGTCATGCTTACATCGGATGGCGCTATGGCTTGGGGGCGAAAGTCTCAAACTGTTGCTTGGGAATAGGCCTCGACCACTCGACTTCTGCGCAGCACCAGCCCCGGCAGCTGTAGGGAGTGGTGTTCCTGGTGAGCTGGCTCAGTTGCTTCTCCACCACGGCCCCGACTACCTCGTCATACACCGGCACGGTGCGACCTGCCTTGAGCTCTCGGCGCCAGCAGCTAGCCGGCGTCAGGCGTTCAACGCGCCATACACTGCAGAAATCGCTCGAGGAGTTGGCATAGAACAGGTGCATGGCCTTCATGGCGTGGCGGAAGGCCTCCTCCTGGCCTGCAGGAGGCGCTTAAAATAGGGTGGACAGGCGCATTATGTCGAAAATGTTCGCTACATGTTAAATGACTTGACTGACGCCTTGGTCATTGCGCTTGTACTGGTACAAAGACATGTAGTCGATGAAGAAAAAGCATTCATCGAAGAAATATCTGTGGTGACGTCGGGCATGGTCCACGATTTGCCTGAGCTGAAAGCCGCAGGGATCGGGGTGCTCCATGGACTCCCAAGCATGGGAGACCCCTACGAACTTGAAGTCCTCGGTCAGTTCTGGCCTGTAGAGAGCGTCCGCCTCGTCCTCAGCCTCTTGCCTCCTTGGCCACACACGCCCTTCAGAAAGAAGCTTTTTGAGGTATGCACCTCGCACCAGTTTGATGTCCGCCGCGTGGAGGTAGCGGACGAAGTCCTCCTTGGAGCCCAGCTTGTAGGTGGACGCCACCGGCTGGGGCGGCTCCTGTCTGAATGATCAAGACGTGTCAGAGTGCCTGAGCTTCCTTCAACCCCACGGTCTTAATTAAACCCTTCAACACCAAAGTCTCGAACCCCCCCAACTAATTGCTTGATATCCTCGTCCGTGTGCTGTTTGAGTCCTGGTGATGCATCGTCGGCCAAGCGCAAAGGACGATTCACTGCTTGGGCTGCCTTTGGGCCTTTCCTGGAAAGGTGAGCTAGGCCCGACCGCACCAAACACCCTCGTGTGGGTTGGTATTGCTCGTAGCCCTAAACCCTAAACCCCTGGAAGTTGCCCTCGCAATGCTGGGGGCACTTTTCTCAAATCTTGGGGGCATCGGGGCCAAGCCTTCATCATGAGTTGGGCCATGAACCCAGGAAACCAGAAGCTCGGCTCAAACCCGAAACCCGAAACCCTAAACCCTAAACCCTAGATCCTACATCCGAAACCCCAAACCCAAAAACCTCCACCAACACACCTCCCAAAACTCCGCAAGACTCCCCCGGGCTCGGCACTTCCGGCGGCGCCAGGTCTCAGCCTGAGAAAGTTGCTCTTTGGGTTCTTTGAGGGTTTAGGGTTTAGGGTTTGGGGCTTGGGGTTTATGGTTGGGAAACTTAGGACCCGAGGCTTGAGGAAGTCTTTTTGGAGGTTTGGCAGGGTTTTCGGCATCTTGGGGCTTGAGAGTTTGGGCTTTCTTCCAAGGCTTGTGGGAGCCAGCTGTAGTTTGCCCTAGACCCTAAGCCCTAAACCTTGAACGCTCACGGCTTAAGGGTTAAAGGGGTTTAGGGTTGAGGATTTTGGATTTTGGGGAGGCTTAGAGGTGTCTGCTGGAGGGGCTTGACGGGTTGAAGGTTGTGGGTTTTGGGTCCTTCGGGAGGAATTGGGGTATAGGGTTTAGGGCTTAGGGTTCAGCATCTCCGGATCGAGCGGTTCTATAGTAACGTTATACTTACGGCTCTGATAGAACACCCACCCACCCAGAGAATTCCATAACATTCAGAAAGCAAAATTACAAGTATTCTCCAATCATCTCAGCTTCAACGGCCTACGCTGGAAACGAACGGACACAACAAAAACGCCTTAACCTCGCTTTGCCATTGCATCTATAACCTCAAGGCCCTAAACCCCAGGTTTGAGGCCCTGAAACCCTAAACCCCAGGTTTGAGGCCCTGAAACCCTGGACCCCAGGCCTTGAGGCCCTGAAACCCTAAACCCCAGGCCCTGCCTTGAACCACGACAAATTGCCTTGATCAACGACACGAGAATTGGCCTTGAACAACGAAAACATTGCCTTGAACCACGAATTACTTAACGTTGAAATTATTATATGATCGAGAGGTTTAGGGTTTATAGGGTGTAGGGTATGGGGTTTAGGGTTTAGGGCTTAACAGTTGAGGGCTGCAACCGCAGAGCCCCCAAGAACACATAGACCCCAAGAACACATAGGAAAGCTCCAACTTGGGATGTTCCCCATTATGCTAGCAGCTTAATAAGGATGATCATAGGGGTACCATATTCCCTATTAAGGACGGTTCGTATAAGGGGGACCATCCCAAGTAACCTCTAAAGATCCCGAAGCCTCGCCCCAAAACCCGAAAACCTCACAACCCTGAACCCTACAACCCCAAACCCTTAACCCCAAACCATTAGCCCTAACCCCTAAACCCCAACCCCTGAACCCCAAATCCCAAGCCCCCTCAACTCTAAACCCCAAGCCCTAAACCCGAAACCCGAAGCCCTATTAAATCCCGAAACCACAAGCCCTAACCCCTGAACCCCAAAACCCAAAACAAAAATACACCTAGACCCTAATTAAAAAACCCCAAACCAAACAAACATCCTCAACCCTGGACCCTAAAAACTTTGACCCTAAACCCCAAAATCCTAAACTAACAGCCCTCAACCCTAGACCCTAAACCTAAAACTCGAACCCCCCTCCCCCCCCGCCCCGGCAAGCGGGGACAGGCCTGGCACGCAGGGCGTGCACTGCTGGGATGCAGTCTCAGCTGCGGTGGGAGACCTGTGGGTTCAGGGTTTATAGGGTTTAGGGTTGAAGAAGGGGTGTTTAAGAGGGTTTAGGGGTTTAGGGAGGGTTAGGGGGCGGGGGTTTGGGGGGGGGTTTGGGGTGGTTTTGGGGGGGGTTTAGGCGGGGGTTTAGGTGGGGTTTACGGGGGCAGAGATTAGGGGTTTAGGGGGTTTAAACAGGTTAAAGGGTTGAGGGGTTTAGGGGTGTAGGGTTTAGGGGATTAAGGGTTTAGGGGTTTGTTTAGGGCCGGGGTAGATAGATGGACACATATAATCATGCAAATCCTACTACTTGCTTAAGAACCCCCTAAAACACAACAGATAATATTCCCTATATTGCCCTTATAAGGAAGAATGTTTATGTCTTGTTGTGGGGGTTCTGAAACTCATCCCGTGTGCATGCCAGTGCTTGCTTCGAGCTTCCAACTGGCAACCCGGAACGCTGCAACTTGACCCTCGGCCAAGTCTGATAAGACCTTTTTGCCGCAATAACTCCCGCAAAGAGCACCCCACTGCTACTATTTGCTTAAGAACCCCCAAAGATGAAAGACAATGGTCCCTATATTACCCTACTAAGGAAGAATGCTTGTTATTTCTTGGGTGGTTCTTAAGCAAATCGTAGGCGGCCGCACGAAGCAACTGTACAGGCCAGCGCCCGCATGTGGTGCGTGGGAGGGAGTGGGCTGGAGCTTGGGACGAGGCGCCGTGAAAGCCCGACTGGGTCTCTTGGGGGCTCAGGGGTTGAGGGCTTTGGGGTTCAGGGCGTTCGAGTTTAGGGCAGTTTAGGGGTGTGTTAAACCCAAAAAAATCTCAACCCACTGGTTTGGGGGGGTGTACTTGAGCACGGCTAAGGCATTCCCTTCGAGGGTAAGGGTTTTTGGTAGGGCCTCATGCTTGATGTTGCTCGAGGGTGCGGCCTGTGGACTGGTCAGAGAGCTGGTGAACTGGTGATACCATGTGGGGGGGTTCTCTCAGGGTTTCTTTGGCGGTCCTTATTGTAGGATGCTGTACTATATTGGGGACCCACAAGGGAAAACACAATTTAGAGAGCTAACCATGATGTGCTGAATCAGTGTCTGAAATCGGTGTCTGAACTCGGGCCTTCAGGAAAGCTCTTGCGAATTTCCCACTCGCGCTCCCATCGTCAACGCAGGGGACAGCGCAACGACGGGAGCAGAAACACATAAGCTTCACCCTTCGGCGGAACAGCTTCTTCAAAGTTGTGCCGTCAGAGGAAGTTCAACCCAGCATGGGTTCCTTTGGACGCCTCTGCTGGGTCATTCGCTCCTCTTCCGGGACAACCAATCGCCGTCAGCCATACGCTCACAGCTGGAACCTGGCTCATGGTTGGGGTAGCATTAAGAGACTAAATTTCTATTCCTTATTCAGAATTAATAATCTAAATTCCTATTCCTTATTCAGTTTAAGAATCTAAATCTCTATTCCTTATTCAGTTTAAGTACCCTTAGACATGCAAAACGTTGCCCCACTATGACAAAGGAACGGTCGAACTTGCCGGTGCGATGGTAGACGTACGCAGGAGTCGCGACGCCCGCGTCGTTCAGGACTGTGGCCACCGTGCGGCTGTACAGGTCCTTGGCGCGCCAGGGCCCACAAGGCACTAAGCCCGAAACCTCCCAAAAACAACCAAAAACACCATAAAGTCCCTAGTCCCGAACGAGGTTGAGGGTGCCTCGAGCCCGTAAAGCCCAAAGCCCCCAACCCTGCCAAAGCCCCAAAACCCCTTAGAACCCCGACCCTACAGAAACCCAAAGTACCCCCACCTGAACCGTAAAGATTTTACATGCGGATTTTAGGCATTAGGGTTTACTGCTATTTGCTGAATAACCCCCCAAATTTTCCAAAGAGAATAATCCCTATATTGCCCTTATAAGGAAGCCTATCTTTATGTTTTGGTGGGTCTTAAGCAAATAGTAGTTGGGAAGGAGGAGGTCTTTGGGCTTCGGGCTTTTCCAATGGATCCCAAGGGTGCTTCAGGTCTCAAAGGGCCTTAAGGTAAGGGATGCTTCCCTAAAGCCCTTAAACCCTACAACCCTATAATCTAAAATGCCCTAAAACCCTAAAACCTTAAAAACCTAAAGCCCTATAAACCCTAAAGCCCCTACACCCTGAGGAAGACTTTGAACAGCTCCCCCAAGGTTTTAGAGTTCCTCAATCCTGAGCCCTAAGCCTACAAAACACCCGAAATAGAACTCTAATGGCCACCCAAAGTTCTAGGGTTCCTAAACCCCAAGCCCTCAACCTACAAACCCTAAACCCCAAAACCCAAACCCTAAGCCCTGAACCTTGACACCCTAAACCCTAAACCCTAGACTCTAAACCCAAAACCCTAAACCCTAGAAGGCTTCCAGCGGAGCAGCGGGGTAGCCTTCAATTTGGTCGGCCTCCGACAGCTTGGAAGCCATCAGACCGGCCTTGGTTGAGGGAAAGGCTTAGTTGAGGGTGCTATGGGGTTTTAGGGTGTTAGGGGGTTTTGGGGTGTTAGGGGGGTTCTGGGGTGTTAGGGTTTAGGGCTTAGGGTTTGAGGGCGTCATGGCGTTAGGGTTTAAGGTTGGAGGGTTTTGAGGGTTTTGAGGGTTTGAGGGTTGAAGGGTGTGAGGGTTTTAGGGTGTTAGACTTTGAGGGTGTTAGGGTTTAAGGGCGTTCGGGTATCAAGCTTCTAGGATGGTAGTACAGGGTTTCAGGTGTTGTTTCAACCGCATGCTGACCTAGGGAATAAAGCCTCAAAGCCTACAAGCTTTAAGGTTTGGCCAAGATAGGAATCAGAAGGGTGCCCCGTTTTGCGTAAAGGGGCTTATAGGGGAACCTAAACCCCAAAAAACCCCCAAACAAAGCAGAATGAGGGCCTACTCTGGCCTGGAACAGGTTTGCAGTGGAGTCTGCGGAGTCACGGTCAAGGTGACCTAAGCCCTAAAACCCCAAGCCTTGTGGGTTCTGGGGTTTAGGGGGTTGGGGGTTTAGGGGTTAGGGTTTGGGGGTTTGACGGGCTCCCAGGCCGAATCCGATCTTCGGACCGAAGGACCGCGAAACCTTGCGGCGCGGTGTTAGCGGCCCGAACTCCCCGGCGTTTTTCCTTTGCACGTTGCACATCCGCAAAGTAAGATGCCTGATCAGTTGGCACTCCACCTGAATCTATGGTGGTATGGTTGGTTTGGCGCATGGCTGCAGAAGCCAGTAAACACATTGGTCTCGAACTGCCCCAACCCCCGTACTTGGCGGCTGAGGACAAAGCATGTCCAAACTCGTAGGGATGGGCTGCGCTGGCATGAACTCTGGGTCTGTGGGGTAGCCACTGGCGAAATCATCTGCCAGGTTCCAATGCATAGGAACAAACAAACCACATTGTTGGGGCTAGGGTTGTCAGGGTCGAAGGCTTTCGACTCTCAGAACCCCCCCCCCCCCCCGAAAAAAAAAAACAAAACAAAAGAACAAATAATGTGAATCCCACATGCTACACCTCCACCTTACAAGTTAGATTTTGAGCTTGGGGTTTAGAGTTTAGGGTTTGGGGTTCAGGCCCACCTTCACCAGGAGAAGAAATGATGGGCAGCTTCGTACAAGCGGTTGAGAATTGCCGCGACCCCCCAGAAGAAGAAGCCTCCTTAGCCCCTCGCCCCGGAACCCTTAAAACCTTCAAAAACATACAGCCCTAAACAACAAACCCTAAACCTTAAACCCGAAGACCCGACCCTAACAGCCTAAACCCTAAACCCTAAACCCTAAACCCTAAACCCTAAACCCTAAACCCTAGACCCTAAACCCCGGAGCCCTCAGCCGCCTTGTCTGGCGGAGGCGTCAGCAACATCCCTCGCACGGAGCAGCTCGTCTCCTCGAGGCAGACCTGGGCTGAAATCGGGTTTAGGGCGCTTAATGGTTTGTGAGGGCTTTTGAAGGTGTTTAGTGTTTTCCGGATCTTTACGGGTTTTCCAGAATTTTTCAGGGATTTTAAGGTTCTTAGGACTTCAGGGTTTTTCAGGGTATTCACGCTTTAGTGCAACCCGAACACATGAGCTCATGAACCCCTAATCCCCCAAGCTTTCAAGCTGCGAAGCCCTGAGAAGACCGGAGGTTCGCCACCCCAAAAACGCTGAAAAGAAGCTTCAAAAGAAAAGGAATGGCAAGAGAACACTAAGGACTATTCAGAGGGTTCTTAAGGCTGAGGGTACCCCTAAACCCCAAAAAATTGAGTGGCGCAAAGGACGGAATAGGTTCACGGACCCGGACTAGAGGCTTTCTTTGGGACTTTGTGGGCGTTCAGGGGGGCGTAGAAGGACTGAGGGCTGAACCCTAAAAAGCCCCAAGCCCTAAACCTCGAAACCCTAAACCCTAAGTCCAAAAGCCCAAACGCCAAAATCCTAAACTCCAAACCCCAAACCCCAAACCCTACCCCTAGGGATCCCTGAACTCCCACAGACCCCGAACCCTAAACCCTAAACCCTACACCCTAAACCCTAAACCCTGAGGATTGTTAGATCCCAGGGGCAGCAGGGTAGCGGCCGTCGATGTAGAGCGAGGCGCCCGGCAGGTAGGCGACTTGCGCCTCCTCGGTTCGAGGGGCTTGAGCCGCTTTAGGGTTTAGGGTTTAGGGTTTAGGGTTTAGGGTTTAGGGTTTAGGGTTAGGGGCTAGAGGGTGTGCAATTCCAGGTTGCCGGCAAGCTCCGAAGCACGCACGGTGCCGAGTTTAGGATGTTGGCTTTAGGGTGGGGCTCTGGTTGCCGATGCAAGAACTGCTAACCTGGGAGATGCAGGTATTTAGCCCTGAATAGCACAACCCGAAACACTAAAACCCCCGTAGCCGTGCCTCCGCAAACCGTCAAAACCCCAAATCCGTTAAGCCCTAAGCCCCACAACACCCTTAAACACCTAACGAGGTTTAGGCTTTCGGGTTTAGGGCTCTAAAGCCGAAACCCTAAACCCTAAACCCTTGAATCCCTGAAGCCTCAATTTGGCCAAGGAGCCATGCCTTCATTGAAGGACTTGGTCCATGAAGCTTTGGAGTCCTTGGGTTTATGGTTTAGGGTTTAGGGCTGGGGTCTAGGGTTTAGGGTCTAGGGTCTAGGGTTTAAGGAGAGTTGCCCATGCCGGACGATTGGAGCCTTTGAGCTAACGAGGCCAGGTTAAATTCTTACTGGAGGTGTTTTGATAGGTCTGAGTTGCGTAAGCTTGGTTTCTCTTGTGGGGTTAACTTCAAGCTCCTTGGGAGGTGTTGGGGAGTGCTTTTAGCTTCTTCAGCTTTGAGGGGACGGGGGCCCTTCGCACCTCTAGATGAAACCCCCATATCATGCGTTGTTGAGGCAGGCGTGCGATCATGTGGCGTTGTGAGCATTGGGGAGTCCGAGAGTGTGCTTGTGTACAGACATTCGCAGGTGTTTCATTCATGATTAAGGCTGATAGGGTTATGTGAGTTAGGGCTTTCGTGATGTAAGGCTTTCGAGCTTTCTGCTTCGGGTTTTGGGTTAGAGGATTGTAGGGTTGGTTTGAAGTCCCAAAGACAGAAGAATTTGGAGGTAAACCTCCCTTCCAAAGACACTAACAAGCTTACTGTGGGTTTGGGGTTCAAGATTTAGGGTTTCAAGGCTCAAGCATGAAGCCTAAGTCGAGGCCTCCCTAGGTCTTGCAAAGCTGCTGGAATCAGACGTTTACCGTAAAGCATGAGAAAACTCGCCTCGGCTTCCTGCCAAAAAACGTCTGGAACAAACAAACCCGGATCGGGCCTCCTTCCCCCTAACCCAACCCTTCCCCCCATGCAAAATTTTCTGACGGACCCCCGCCCCGGCCTGTGGGAACCCCCCCCCGGGACCCTCTTGGGAATTCACCCCTGGGACTGCCCTGGAACCCCTCTGGCACCCTGCTCAGCTGGGACCCTCCTCGGTCTGAACCCGCTTCCTGACCAGAAACCCTCTTTCCTCCTTTCCTGTCCGTGGGCCGGCCCGGCTGCCGAGGCGGCGCGCGCAAGCCTTTACAATTATCCCCAGATTTATATGATCTTAAACCCCTCAGCCTTTAAACTCTCACATTTCAAGCCCTGAATCCCAAAGCCAAAATAAACCCTAAACCCCAAACCCAACTTAGCCGAGTTGGCAGATCTGTTCGATCTGAGAGGCGTCATCTGGCCGCAGGGTTCCGTAAACAAAGAATCCCGCCGGCCTGTTGGGGCTTTGCATCAGGGTTTTAGGGTTTTGGGGGGGATTTTGGGCTTTAAGGGTTTTCGGGGTGCTGCGGGTTTAGGGTTTAGGGTTTAGGAGTTGAGGGTTTAGGGTTTAGGGTTAGGAGTTGAGGGATAAAGGAGTTTAGGGATAAAGGGTTTGGTGTAGGGTGCGGTTGGCAGGGCTGGACCTGGGGGCAGCTTCTTGGAGTTGGGCAAGGGGTTTAGGGTTTAGGGCTAGGGTTTAGGGTTTAGGGTTTAGGGCCTTAAAGCCTTCAGAGGCCATCGCAGGCGCTACCGTCCTCTTTAGAATCGAAAGCCCCCCAAAACCTCCAAAAAAAGCTCTACTGTAGGGGCCTTAACAATTAGAATGCGGTCTTGGGGGGTTCTTACAATATATTTATAAAGGGACCCGAAGGGAATACCATTAGCAAATATTCCGACCCCATACTAGACCTCCCGAAGCTCTCTCAACACCCCCAACTGCCAACACCGTTTCTCAGACCCTAAAGGCCCCAACACCGCAACAAACTCCTACTTCGGCTTTAAGCTTGAGGGTTAAGGCTTGCGAGCTTCATCCCTAAACCCTAAACCCTAAACCCTAAACCCTAAAACCTAAAACCCTAAACCCTACACCCTAAACCCTGAAACCCTAGACCGCGTCGTTGAAGCTGAGGAGCGCCCCTGTCGTGGACGCAGCGCGCGCCTGGAATCTTCGGCGGAAGGGAGGTGCAGGGCATCTTGAGGGGCCTGAGGTCCGGTTTAGGGTTTAGGGTTTAGGGTTTAGGGTTTAGGGTTTAGGGTTTAGGGTTTAGGGATTTACGGGGCTTGGGGTGGTTGAGGGTTTTGGGGTTTGAAGTGGTTTAGGGCTTGGGGCTGAGGGTCTGAGACTCTGGGGTTGTAGGGCTTGGGAGCTTGGGACCGCGATGCAACAAACTCATTACTAAACCCTAAACCCTAAACCCTAAACCCGAGACCCTAAACCCTAAACTAAACCCCAAATTCTGAATTCTGGTTTTAAGCAAAAGAAAGCGGAGGAGGGACACTTGGAAGCCCTTTTGACTTAGTAAGTCGAAAGAGCTTCCAAGTATGCCCTAAGTCCCAAAACCTCGGAATCCTGAAGTCCTGCTCAGCCGTTCAACCCTTAACCCAAAGCGCGTAAACTCCCTAACGCCCCAAGCGCTTAACAGCCCTAACCTCTCCAAGAAGTAAACTGCTGCTTCAACCCCTGAAACTCTAGCCCCTAAAACCTAAACCCTAAACCCTAAAACCACCCTAGGCCCTAAAAGCTAAAACCCAAAACCCTAAAGCCCCTAAAACCTAAACCCTAATAAGCCCGCAAACCCCTAACCCCTAAACCGTCATAAGCCCCTAAACCCTAGAACGCTAAAACCCTCAACCCTCAACCCTAAACGCGAACCCCTGAAACCCCTGAAACCCTGAAACCCCTGAAACCCCTGAAGCCCCTGAAGCCCCTGAAGCCCCTGAAGCCCCTGAAGCCCCTGAAGCTCCTGAAGCCCCTGAAACCCCTGAAGCCCTTGAAACCCCTGAAGCACTAAACGAAGGCAACGTAGCCTTCCGGCGAGGCGGCGCTTTGGGCGCCGGTGGGGAGGCGCTTCCGCCCGCAGGAGCCTGGGACCCCCAGGCTGTGCTTTAGGGTTTAGGGTTTAGGGTTTCGGGTTTAGGGTTTAGGGCTTAGGGTTTAGGGTTTCGCGTTTCGGGTTGAGGGTTCAGGATCAAAAGCAAACATTGATGCCTAAATACACCAGTGTTTATGAACATGGAAGAAATTCAAGCTTCAACATTGCACACGGAAACCCAGACCGCAAACCCCTAAGCTCGAAATACTTAAGGCGTCCCTAAACACTCAAAGCCTCGAGTCCACAAACAGGTGGCCGAAATAAGCAAATCTATGTCCTATGAATCCTTGGACACCTAAACACACTCCCCCCCCCGTGTAGGATGTCCGAGTCTGTATGGGACATCGATATTCTAATCTGAGACCATCTTCCTTTTACATGATGGGTGAGGTTGTGTCCCCGGTGTTTTGACGGTTGTGATTCGAGCCGACTTTGGAACGCCCAGGTGCTGGTCCACACGGCTTGCACTAATGCAGCCGAAGCCAGAACGCTGAGCCCCCCCAAAAAGCTGAACCCTCAACACTAACTGTTACGCTGAACACTACTAAAACCGTAATATCCTACCGTCCTAAATGCTAAACCCTGCATCGCTTTTCTCCCGAAACCCCGCATGCTAACTCCCTAAGCCAAACACTTCAACTCCCGAAACAATGAACCCTATAGCGAGTAAACCCTAATCCCTACCTCTCGAGAGCAAAATCCCTCAACACTTGCACACTAAGCCTTAGGCCTTCCTCACTCCATGAACCCTAAGCGCCAAAGCCTCCAACATCCGTTAACCATTAACCGAAACCTAGTCCTTCAGACGCTGTTAAACCGTATCAGGGGTTCATGCCGAAGGAAGCCCGCTACTCACCGATAGGGGAGGGAATGGTTACCAGTCCCTTCACGGCGAACGCTAGAGCCTAAATCATGAACCCCGAAACACCAAAACTGAACAGCCAATCCCGAGAATACTCATACTACAGTCTACATCCCTAAATCCCCACAACTACACCAAACCTTGTATCCCGAAGTCCCGAAGCCCTAAAACCCCAAAACGCTCTGCCGAGGCCCCGGACTTTACTCGAGCTCTTGGAGCCCTTGGCGTCCCTGACACCCGGGCTGGGCGCCTTGTGGTTGGCACGGCTTGAGCGTGAGGGAAAAGGGGGCTGTGCCTTGTAGGCATTTAGGGTTTTAGAATTTTGGAGCTTGAAAGTTCTTGCGGGCTTACTGGCTTCGGGCTTAGAGTTTTGAGGGGCTTCAAGGCTCGTAGGGGTAGGGTTTGCATGGGTCTTTGTTGGGTGTTGCAGGGGCTTGCGGCTTTATGGATTATGTCACTTGGCATTGCCCCTGCAACAGCTGTGGTAAGTCGGGCGGCAGTCGGGCATGGCAACTGCACTTCTCAATTCTACCATGACTGACTCGTGGATGTCCACCTTGCGCAGTGTAGAAGAGCGGAGACTGAAGGTTCTTGTCTGCACCGGTGTTGACGCCCTTCTCCGCGCGGCGACTGACAAGCTCTAGCTAGCCTGGCACTTTGCGAGACGCGCCCCAGCCCAGGGCCATATGCCATGGATCAACAGAAGCGCAACGAGAGCAGGGCTTGTGTGTTAGCGTGCAGGGCTGAGGACTTAGAAAACCTGCTCTGTTGTTTGTGTTTCGGGATGCCGTCGGGAGTAACGAAGTTCGCCCGAGTTGCTTTAGAGACAAGGTACTGCAGCTGCACAAGTTTGCATGGTCTTAAGACAAAAAGTCCAAAAGTAGGAAACCTAGAAGGAACGATAGGCGCGCTACCTAAAAACCGATAGCATGTAGCATTGTTGTGTCGCCGGAGGGCAGGAAAGTGAAGGTGTAGTCCCAGTTTGCCCTTGGCCAGGTGCTTGGTGATCTGTGTGCGGGGCGAGGCCCGTTGCTGCATATAACTCATGCCTGACCAAGGCCACGGCCGGCGCGGTAAATTTATTGGCACGTCCATAGCTTTGTGGGCCAGGCAGGCACAGCGGAGGACTTGAACGAGATGACGCAGCGGTCCACAACTAAGCCGCAGGCTCCTCGCCATGACAAAGTATTGGTACTTGCCGATCACCTCCTCTTTGCAGCCCAGCTCCATCAAACTCTGCTTTCAAGGTCATTTCTCGATTTTTTCTGCCGCCACTCTGCTGCAGCAGCCCTACGAACTGCAGGGAGTTTCTCTGCCGCTGCATCTCGCTTTGCTGCCTCCTCGTCCTCGGCCTGCAAAGGTGGACCGTGGCCTCAACCTCCGTCTCGTACTGGCGGGGATCCAGGGCAGCTACCTCCGTCGCAGTCTCCTTGCACAGCGCCACAAAGTCAGGACCTCAAAAGGAGATCATATTCAAGTCGCCATCAAAATCGCCACCACCCATGCCGCTGTTTGCCAGGCCAGCGGGCGACACCAGCAAGCTATGGTTAGGAACCGGCCATAGGAGCTCCTTCGCCGTCCAAATCTCCAGATCACCTGGAGCCTGACAGGGAATCTCCAGACTGCGATCTCCCCCCTAAACACAGCACCCTTGATGACCGGATAGCACTCCTTGTTCGCTGAGGCTGAGGTCAAACAAAGCTGTCAGCGTGGCTCCAAGCGCGACCGTCTATGGCCACTGAAATCAGCTTGCTACATCTCAGGGGTCTGCCGCATCCCAGGTCACACCCGCATCCGCAATCTTGCAGCACACGAGGGTGGACGCATTCGTCGTCCGTGCCATCGTCCACTTCCTCGCCCTGCATGGTTTTCTATCACTGTTTCTGCCTCTCCCTGTCTCTCTCTCTCTCTCTCTCTCTCTCTTTCTCTCTCTTTCTCTCTCTGTCGCTCTCTCTCTCTCTCTTTCTCTTTCTCTTTCTCTTTCTCTTTCTCTTTCTCTTTCTCTTTCTCTTTCTCTTTCTCTTTCTCTTTCTCTTTCTCTCTCTTCTCACGCCTTGCCCTTGCCCGTTTCGGCGTCCTCGCGCTTCACTTTCTCTGTTTCTTACTCGCTCTCTGTCTCCTCTCTCTCACTCACTCACTCTCTCTCTCTCTCTCTTTTTCTCTGGGGCGGTCTGAATGGTTCTCGGCTATTCATACATTCATTTCAGGAATTTCAGGAGTTTAAGGGTTGAGGGTTCTGTGATTTTGGGGCTTGGGGGTCTTGGGGGTCTTGGGGTCTATGGTTTTGAAGGTTTCAAATTCTAAGGTTTTGGAGGGTTCAGGGTTGTAGCGGCTGAAGGGCTTAGCTGTCTGAAGGCTTCGAGGGTTTTCGGCGTTAAGGGTCTAGTAGGGGAGAAGGCGTTTTGGGGGGCCTAGGCCTGAACAATGCACGGTTCGGGCCAGGGTGCACGCTTGACTCTTGAAAGGGTCCAGGCCCCCAAACGGCCCGACCCCAAAAGCTCTGTGCATTAACGCCCTCAAGCCCCAACCTACCAGCCAAAAGCACCGCACCCTCAACCCCAAAACCTAAAGCGCGCACTAACCCATAAACAACGCTAACCTTAAACGCTTGACCCTTCAATCCCCTAGACCCCAAACCCTAACCCCAAAACCGCCTGAATGCCCCGATCTCGGAACGCGCGTGGCTAGTCTGGATTTAGGGTTCAGGGTGTATGGCTAGGATGCTCCCACTTATACTAACAGTTCTTAATACGGACTATAGGTACCCCCCATTATTATGCCCCATTAAGGAGCTTTTCGTCCAAGCAGGAACATCCCAAGCTTAGGTTTTTTTGCATGGCTGAGGGCTAAAAGGGCTTAAGATCAAGCCTCCAGTGCAAGGCTTGGAGATATGGGGGTTTCCGAAAATTAGGGGGTGCCTGTATTTGGGGTCCCGAATCCTACTATTTTGGGGTCCTTACTATAAGGGGATCTTACTATTTGGGGTTCCATATTCGGGGTCCCTTTTTTTGTCACCCCCATATGGCATTGCCGGTACAAGTTTGGGGCTGGTCCCAGGTTTGAAGTGTCGTGCGTAAGCCGTGGCCGTAATCTTGGGGTATACCACTGCCTCCCTAGACCCTAAACCCTGAACCCTGAACCCTAAACCTCCCAAGGCGCCCTCGGCCCCCGTGCAGCTGCAGGCGTGGAGGAGCCGCGCGCGGCCGCACCGCGGCCGGCCGTGGGCGCAGGGCTCGGCGCCCGAGGGGCCGAGGGGCCTGGATGTAAGGTTTAGGGTTAGGGGGTCTGGGGGTTTAGGGCTTGGGTTGGGGTTCAGGGTTTAGGGTTTGGAGGTTTGGGGGTTTGGGGGTGGGGGTTTTGGGGATTTGCGGGGTTTGGGGGGTGTGGGGTTTAGTGGGGGGTTGAGGGGTTTGGGGTGCTTGCAGGTGTTTGCGGTGGTTTGGTGGCGGGTTGGGGGTTTGGGGTCTATGAGGTTGAGGCAGTTGAGGGTTTAGCTTCGGGTTTCGGGTTTAAGGGGTTCAGAGGGCCTGGTGTCTTAGAGTTAGGCTTTGGGCTCGGGTTTGGTGTTTCTGCTGCTTGCTTTGTTAGAAGGTTTGATCGGCCTTTACAAGGCATAGAGTTTAGCCTTCTGGTTTGGGCTTTCGGGGACTTAGAACTTTCGGACTTGTGTCCGGCCTTCTTGTACTCTTGTATGTCTGCAACCGCCCGGAACCCCAAGCCCTCACCCTCGTCCCCCCCCATATGCAAAGCCGCTAACCCCAAACCCTCAAACAATACTAAAACCCATAGCCTCAAACCCAAGCCCTAAACTTTCAACCTCAAACCCTAAAAAAACCCTAAAAAAACCCTAAACCCTAAACCCCAAACCCTAAACCCTAAACCCTAAACCCTAAACACTAAACCCTGAACGCTAAGGCCAGGAAACCAGGACTGGTGGGAACCGCGGGGGGCGCCAGAGGAGCCAACAAGGGCTCCTTCCGCAGCCGTGCCACCTTCATGTGGAGCATTGGCTTTGGGGTTTAGGGTTTAGGGTTTGGGGTTTAGGGTTTGGGGTGTAGGGTTTAGGGTTGAGGGTTTGGGTTTAGGGCTTGGGGTCTAGGGTTTGGGGTTTATAGGGTGAAGGGTTTAGGGCCTGGGGCTGTAGAGCTTTGTTTTCTGGTTTTCTGGCGGTCTTTTGGGGTTTGGGGGTTCGAGGGGTATAGCCTGAAACCCTAAACCCTGAACTCCGAGCCCTACTCTTTAAAGAGGGAGTTTGTGGTTCGGCACTAGGCGGGGCGAAAGCCTTGCCCACAGAAGACCCCCTAAACCCTAAACCCTAAACCCTAAACCCTAAACCCTAAACCCTAAACCCTAAACCCTAAACCCTGGACCCTAAACCCTAAACCCTAAAACCCTAAACCCTAAAACCCTAAAACCTAAACCCTAAACCCTAAAACCCTAAACCTTGCCCACAGAAGACCCTTTAACTAGTCTATCACTTTGAGGATCTGGGGATGTTGCCCCTTGCACTAACAGTCACGGATTGTAATAGGGGTGCTACAATCCCTATCCCTATCAAAGGCTGCTAGCATGAGGGTGGACCATTCCCAACAAGCATCTGTATACAGAAGGAGTATTCCTTCCGAGAACTACAGGGTACAGGGCTCTCGGGGCAGGCTGTGCCAGTGCGGGCGCCGCCTCCTGTAGCAGCGTGGGCAGAACCTCGCCACTTTTCCTGGTTGCGGAAGTTGGAGCTTGAGGGTTGGGCTTGAACCCTCGAGCCCTCGACCCTAAACCCTAATCCCTTTACAGGGGAGGTCGCATAACCTCTTTGGAGCTGCGTGACTAAGGGACGGTTCCTAACCCTTGAATCTGTAACCCTACAGGCCCCAAGCGCCTTTAAAGACATACTAACAAAGCAACCGACAAACCTAAGAGCCCTAACAGCCCTTAAAAGCCTCTAGAAGCCCCTAAACCCTAAACCATAAACCCCCCCAAAAAAAAAGGAAAAAAAAAAATAAATAAAAATGGCCCAGCTGCCCCTGCAGGTGCAACATGCCGGCGGTGGTGTCATCCTTCAGATCCACCTCCGTATCCATCCTGACCATTTTACTGATAGCTCTCTGAGTTTTTAAAGGAAGGGTTTTGGGTTTAGGTCTTTAGGGTTTCTGATCGCTTCTGAAAGGCGTTGAGGGTCTTAAGAGGTTACAGCGCTCAGGGCTTTTTAGGAATGATGGACAAAAAGACCCTTGCATCCGCGCGCCCAAAAGCCCCACAAGCGCGCCTGATGATGATGGTGCCTGACTTCTGCGCAGCGCGGACCATCGACCGGGGCCCCCCCGTGGTCAGCTGCGTGCCGACGATCAGAAGAACGTCGCAAGTCTCCATCCGATCCATCACGGTCTTCCAGTGGAAAAATGCCTTAGTCGCGCTTGCTTGCCTGCTTGCTCGCTTGCTCGCTTGCTTGCAGGGCTTGCGTGAGAAAAGAAACGGACGACGCCCAAAACTCTAAGCTGTGAACCCCAATTCGGACATTGGAAGCCCTAGCAAAACACATATCCGAGTTGGGAAGTTGGAGTTTCCATGGGAAACCATACTTCCCAGGCGAAAAACAAGCTTCCTTGATGAAGCCAACATTGCAAGCTCGAACATGCCGAAGTCCGTGCTAAGTTCAACGTTCAAGACTGATCAAACGCAATAAGGGCGGGAAAAGTGGTTTGGAGGAAGTACATCTGACTTCCGGGCTCGAGATTAAGGCTTTGCTCACGACCAAGCCCACAGCAACACAAAGAGAAACGTGCAAAAAGAAACACGTTCAAGAGAAACAGCAGAGTAGCGAACGCGACAGTCTGTCACCTTTCAAGGCTTCAATGCGTGGATGGGCCTTGCAGAATTTGCCAGCTCCTGAACCTGGGATCCTGGACCCTAAGAAACCCGAAACCCTAAACCCCAAAACCGTCAAAACCCCCAAGAAACAACACACAAAACCCCCCAAAAACACCAAAGACAGGGGGGGTCCCTGTGGCCTCGTTGTAGCTCTCGTCAAACCACAGAATCTTCGGCCGCTGCCGCACACCGCACTTGGGGCAGAGGGGCAGGTGCTCCTCCTTCCTGGGCTTGGGGCTTAAGGGGTTTAGGGGTTTCGGGGTTGAGGGCATAGCGGTTTTGGGATTTAGGGTCAAGGGGTCTAGGGGTTTAGGGGTTTCGGGGTTTAGGGTCAAGGGGTTTAGGGGTTTTTGGGTTTCGGGTTCAGGGCTAGCCGGGCTAGGGTTCCCAAACCCGCTTAGGGTTTTGATTTAAGGGGGAGGCCCCAAGCTTGCTTTACAGATAGTTTCGACGATGAAATTCGTGAGCAGCTGCCTTCTTCACTTCCCCAAAGCACTACTGAACAGGGTTTAGGGTTTAGGGTTTAGGGTTTAGGGTTTAGGGCTAGGGTTTAGGGTTTAGGGTTTCGGGTTCCCGAAGCCCCAAACCCCAAACCCTAGAGGGGCCCCAGCGTCTCATCCTTGGCCGGCTCCGGCGTGCGCATGACGGTGCCCCGCGCGCGCTCGATGTTGGCGGCGTCGTTCAGGTCGACCTCAAGAAGCCGAAGCCCTCAACCACAGGGTTTAGGGTTTAGGGCTTAGGGTTTGTGGTTTAGGGTTTAGGGTTTAGGGCGAACTGTTTATGGGCTCGGGCTCATGGTTCGGGGTTTAGGGTTTAAGGGTTTCGGGGTCCTCTCGACTCTACCGGCCGCAGACCCATGGCGTTCTGCCTGGGCTTCCAGCCCCTCCCATCGCTGGAGGCGTTGGGACCCAAACCCCAAGAATCGGTTTTTGCGGTCCCTGACCCCTAAGCCCTCCAAAACTTAGACCCTAAACCCAAAGCCCTACAAACCTTAAGCCCCAAACCTTGAACCCAAAACCTCAAACCTCGTCAAGTGGTTTCAGGGATTTAGACTTCCAACTCCCCCCAACCCAAAGAAGCACGGCTTGGAAAGCTGAGGGCTTGAAGGTTTTTGGGCTTTAGGGTGGTAGGAATTGGGGTTTAGGTTTAGGGCCTAGGGGGCCTTTAAGTAGTGGAGGCCTCGGCTCTTTTTTGGGGTTTCGGGTTCTTGGAGGGCTCGGATGAGGACGCCTTGTAGAGGCAGGCGCCCTCCACGCGCTCGTCGCAGCGCATCTCGTCTATTCCTGGCTGCCCAGGCAGCAATCCAGCGTTTAGGGTTTAGGGTTCTCAGGGTTTCGGGTTTGCCAAACCCTGAAAAACTCAAAGCAAAACAGCTTCGAAAGCCCTAGACAAAAACCGACGAATCCTGCAAAACGAGCCGTCAACATCCCCAAGCCCTCATTCCGAAAACCCCAACCCCGAAGCCCCTAACCCTAAACCCTAAACCCTAAACCCCAAACCCCAAACCCCAAACCCCAAAACAAAACAACCCCCTACGAGAGCTCCCAAGCAGAAAGCCAGGAGTCGCCCATGGATCTCGCAAAGCTTGCTGGCATCGGTGCCCGCCTTCACCCGCCCTAAACCCTAAACCCTAAACCCCAAACCCCAAACCCTAAACCCCAAAAACGTAAACCCCGGGGGTGTTCTGGGGTGCTAAGCCTCGAGGGGTTTAGGGTTAGTTCCGCGGTTTCCGTTGGTTTAGGGTTTTGGGGTTACGGTCTAGGGCTTCAGGGTTTTTAGGGCTTGGGGGTTCAAAGGTTTAGGGCTCGAGGGTTTAGGGTGCCCGCCTGTGGTTCAGGGTTCTGGTGCTTGAGGGTTTCAAGGTTTGGGGCGTTGGGGGTTTTAGGATTTAGGGTTTCAGGGTTCTGGGGCTTGGGGATTTAGTCTTTTGGAAACAACATAGGGCTCGGGGTCCAAAGGTGTTGAGCAGGTGTTGGGCAAACGCGTGGGACGAAAGTTTCGGGCAAGAGTTTGGGGCGGGCCTCGCTTAAGTGCTGGGGGTTCAACGCTCCACAGCTTCTTTCAAGGATGCCGTCCTTGAGGGTTTTCAGGGTTTACTTGGCGAAGTCCAGTTTCAGGTTTAGGGCCGCCTGCAGGTGTAAGCCGTCCACGTTCTGCGTGACCAGCATGAACTCTCCATCCATCAGCTTCTGCCTTTGGGGCTTCTAGGCTTGGGGGGGGGTGTAAGCATCGGTTGAAACCGAGAGCTCCAAACCTTAGAACCCGCAGCATCCCTGAAACCTCCAAAAACTAGGTTTAGGGTTTAGGGTTTAGGGTTTAAGGTTTAAGGTTTAGGGTCGTATAGGACCGCCTCACTCCATGCCCCCCCTCCCCCCCTTTTGAAGCTCTTCTTGTCAGGCCCAAGTAGCAGCTCCACCAACGCGAAGTGCCCTGGATTGGGCTTGGCCTTGCGGCAGATTCCCCACCTGATGCGCGGGAAGCCCTAAACCCTGAACCCCAAACCCAAAACCCCAAATGCCTGACCGTCATTTTTCCCTTGCATCCCAGGCCCCCAGCACAGGATCTCAGCCTTCTCAAGCCTTCAGCCCGAAGCCCAAACCCTAGAAGATAGTAGGTTCTAACCCCCTAACACTAGAAGGCAAACGGAGCCATAGAGGGTTTCGGGTTCAGGGTACACCCTTAGCCCTAAACCCTCTAAAGTCTCAGCCTTCCCTATAACATGGTAGTTCTGACCCCCTGCATGTAGCAGAACCCCACCCCCCCGCCCCGCCCAACAAACAGGTAGGTAACTGGACCCAAGGTTCTGAAAACTCCCTAAGGCTCCCTAAGCTTTGCAGGCACAGCATTTCCCCTTAGGCAGGGTGGGCAAAAAACACGTTTCGGTCAAAACTTCCGTGCAAAACGTTTCGTTCAAAACTTTCGGCCAAGACTTTTTGGGACCCAAACCCTATACAATTTCTATAAACCCTAAACCCTAAACTCTAAACCCTAAACCCAAAACCCTAAACCCGGAGCTGGGCAGTGCCCAGCCTGTACTGATACCAGCGCCAGAGCTCTGCCGGCATCTCGTTGTATTTCTCCCAGGTGGCCAGCTCCTTGCGTGCGGTTGAGTTTGGGGTTTAGGGGTTAGGGTCTAGGGTTTAAGGCCTTAGGCCTTAGGCCTTAGGTTTAGGGTTTAATGATTTGCTGTTATAAAGCGGTCGTGAACTCAAAATGCTGCCCAATCCCCCTAAACCCCAAAACCCCAAAACCCAACTCCCCAAAATCCTAAACCCCAAATTCCAAACCCCCAACAGCCTGCACCCCAAGGCCGGAAAAAACGCGCAGCCAGGCTCCTGCGGCTGGTAGTGCTTGGACCCTACCGTCCAGAAGCCGTCGGCGCCGCGGAAGGTGGGGATCCCTTGGGCGGAAAACCCCTAAGGGTTAGGGTTTAGAGTTTAGGGTTTAGGGTTTGGGGTTTGGGGTTTACAGTTTAGGGTTTAGGGTTTAGGGTTTAGGGTTTCGGGTTTAGAGTTTAGGGTTTAGGTTTCAAACCCTATGCTCAAGGGGTTTGTAGGGCCTTTATATGAGGGCTTGAAGGGGTTGATGCTAACCCTGGCTTCTCTTGGGCAGCGTAAACTTGACAACCGAGTAGGCTTCGGGTTCAGGGTTTAGGGCTTCAATTCCTCTTGTAGTACGCCCCGCCCTCACCTCCCAGCGTGTTTAGGGGAGGGTTGAAGGGACCGTATTTGTAAAACAAGTCTCCATATTCTTGAGGGTTGAGGGTTGGGGGCCCTCCAGTTAATTGCTCTTGTTGGTTGGGAGGGGGTGGGGAAGGCGAAGCCCTGGCCCCTGAACCCCAACTAAACCCTAAGGCCCTAAACCCTAAACCCTAAACCCTAAGGCCCTAAACCCCAAGAGTTAAAAGACCGAACCCCTAACCCTGAGCCCTGAACAGCTCGCAACAGGCTTTCCGCTGTCTGGGTGCCACTCTCCGCACTGATTCCCGCACCAGTAAGCACCTCAGGACACACGGAGCTACTATCCGAAGATAGGGGCCTCAATAATTAGAATAGGGGTGTTGGGGGGTGATTTTAGTATAATGATTCGGGACCATAAGAAAATATTCTGTAGTTCTTCCGACCGGCTCCAGGGTTTCGGGGTTTGAGGGTTTCAGGCAGTCCAGGGTGCCAGGGAATTGAGAAACCCGAGTCCCGGAAGGTTCTCAAAAGGGTTTAGGGTTTAGGGTTTAGGGTTTAGGGTGCAAGCTTCTATCACAACCCGGAGCCCTTGGCCCCTAGACCCTGACTACAGGGAGGGGGGGTGGGGGGGGCGGGGCAGAGGGAGACCTGGACGCCCGCAAACAAGGCCTTTAAAAAGCCCCAACCCCCAAACCCGACACAATACATCCTGCAACAAACCCTTGAACCTCAAATCCATTCAGCCCAAACCCTAAATCCTCAACCCCCCCAACCCCAACCCCCTCCCCCGGAAGCCGAACCCCCCAAAACCCCCTAAGACCCCAGGTTACGGCTTAGGGTTTGGGGTTTCTAGAGTTTAGGGCTTAACGCGTTTAGGGTTTAAGGCTTAGGGTTTAAGGTTTAGGGTTTAAGGCTTAGGGTTTATAGAGTTTAGGGTTTAAAGGGCCCCTTTGCCCCAAATCAAGAATCCGCGGCGCGACCAGGTTCCGCGAGCGCCGCAGCACCTGGGCCGCGCGGGCCACGGAGATTCGCTCTGCCGGTCGAAGGCCTCTGAAGCCATGCTAGGGTTTAGGGTTTAGGGTTTGGGGGTTTAGGGTTTAGGGGTTTAGGGTTTAGGGCTTAGGGTTTAGGGTTGAAGGGTTTTGGGCTTTGGAGTTGTAGGGTTTGAGGTCTAGGGTCAAGAGTTTAGGGTTGTAGGTTTGTAGGGTTTTCGGGGTTGTAGGGTTGGAGGGTTTTAAGGTTCTGGGTTGTTCGGGTTCCAGGGTTCAGGGTTGCGGTCATAGAGGTTTAGGGTTTAGGTGGTGTTTCGGGGTTTAGGATTGTACAGGGTTTGGGGGGGGGGGGGGTTCTGGCTTAGGGTTTTAGGGTTGATGTTTTTAGGCTTTTAGGGTTTGGGAGTTCGGGTTGCTGTCATTGTGGTTATTGGTTGAGGTCATATGGATTTTTACGTGGGCTCGGGGGCGGCTGCTGGAGTAGGCTAGACATTGTTGGTTTCAAGGCGCTCAGAAGGGAGCCTAAGTCCCCCCAAAGAAGCGAATGAGGGCCTACTCTGGGTCCTCATTTCAGGGGGCCGTTCCAGGGCGTTTATCAGGGTCGGTTGGTTGTTGGCCTTGAGCTTCCAGGGTTTTGGGCTGGGATCTCCCCCTTATACTAGCAGTCCTTGATCGGCATTTCGGGTCTAGGGTTTATGGATTATAATAGGGGGTATTCTAAATCCGTATTAAGGACTGTCAGCATAAGGGGAAACATCCCAAGCTTTAGGGCCTGAAGGCTCTAGGTAGGCATGGGAAGTCAAAGGGCATCCTCGGACTAAACGCCCTCTGACAAGTCTTCCTAAATAGGGTGAACCGCCGTGATTTGGGAATCCCTCAGATTTGAAAGTCCTCTAAACCCCAGGAAGGGAACAATATAATATTAAGTAAGGGTTTATGGGGTTGAGGGTTTGTAGGGTTTGGGGCTTAGGTTCAGTGAGGTAATTGTTTCATGCACAAGGTCCTCATGGACAACGTGATCTCGACCACCTGAATTTGAGCACCCTAGGAGAAAACAAACAGAATCTAGAAACCCCCCCCCATGCCCTAGAAATCCAAAATAACAGCAGTGAACCCCAAATCCCTACCCGAACAAAACACAAACCTCTAAACAACTTCAAGATATTCGAGAAACCCTAGAAGCCCTGGAAACCCTAAAACCCTGCAACTCCCCTCGAAACTCTGAAAAGAAAAACCAATCAAGAATACCTAGCAAATCTAAACCCAAAACTACCCAGCCGCCTGCTGACGGCCCACTCAGGCCCATAACCTCCCATGGATGGATGCAGGGTTAGGAGTTTAGGGGTTTAGGGGTTGAGGGGTTCAGGGTTTAGGGTTCGGAGTTTGGGCGTGGGGTTTGGGGTTCGGAGTTTGGGCGTGGGGTTTGGGGTGGGTTAAGTACCAGGGTTTGAGGGTTTAGAGTCGAAGGTGTAGGGTTTAGGGATGCAAACACACACACACACACACACACACACACGGAGAGAGGGAGGTCAGCCAGAGATTGTTGTACAATGGTACACTGACTGGAGATGACTGGAGAGACCTCAGTACAGGAGAGACCTCAGTATAGGGGAATCCCATCGGGACTCCTGGAAAACATTGCAGGTACATGGAGCTGGCCAAACTCCACATCCCCTGATGCTTCATAGCTTCGTTGGATTGGGTAGAAGCATCAGGCCCAATCGTCGGAATTCTACCAGTGTTCTCAATGCGGGGTCAAGACCATGTATCCCGGAACCGGTTTTGTTAGTTCTTCTTACGACTTGTTGACCGGTACAGGGCAGGTCTCCCTTAATCTGCCAGCCCCCAACAAGCAGCAACAACCATGTACCCCAACTGGCGGACAGGCGTGGCTTCTCTGTTCGGACTGTTGAATTCCAATATTCTTACACACACACACACACAAACAAACACACACACACACACACACACAAACAAACACACACACACACACACACAAACAAACACACACACACACACACAAACAAACAACACACACACAACACACACACACACAACACACACACACACACAACACACACACACACACACACACACACACGACACACACACACACACACACACACACAAACAACACACACACGCACACACACACACACACACACACACACACACACACACACACACACACACACACACACACACACACACACACACACACACACACACAAACACACACACAAACACACACACAAACACACACACAAACACACACACAAACACACACACAAACACACACACAAACACACACACAAACACACACACAAACACACACACAAACACACACACAAACACACACCCAAACACACACACAAACACACACACAAACACACACACAAACACACACACAAACACACACACAAACACACACACAAACACACACACAAACACACACACAAACCCACACACAAACACACACACAAACACACACACAAACACACACACAAACAC